CTTGCAAGGAACAGTGCCCATCTGTCCTGGCGTGGACGGAGGCGTTTGGCTGTTTTCAAGTACTCAAGGTTTTATGGTCGGTATAGACCAGAATGGGATGTAGTGCCCCCTCTAGCAGATATCGCCATTCCTCCAGAGCTGTCTTCATGGCCAGTAACTCCCGATCCCCGATATCATAGTTCCTTTCCGAAGGGGAGAGCTTCCTAGAAAAAAAAGCCACCGATGCATTAGCTCCTTGGCCCCTACTCTCTGACAACACCGCTCCTACAGCCACTTCTGATGCGTCTACCTCTAGTATATATGGCAATGATCCGTCAGGGTGGCTCAGAATGGGAGCCGTTGTGAACAGCTTCTTCAGTGCCTCAAAAGCAGCCTGTGCAGCTGGGGTCCATTGGAAACGTACCCCCACCTTGGTGAGCTGAGTAATGGGTGCTACCAGGCCTGAAAAGTTCTTTATAAATTTTCTATAAAAGTTGGCGAACCCAATAAACCTCTGAACTCCCTTCTTATCCATGGGGGCAGGCCATTCCAAGATGGCCGAGATTTTTCTGAGGGTCCATAGCGATCCCCGTGGTGGAGATAATTAGACCAAGAAATGAGATGCTTTCTTGCTCAAAACAGCATTTCTCAGCTTTAGCGTAGAGTCCATGCTGACGGAGACGTTCCAGCATGGTCCTGACATGTCCCCGATGTGCCTCCAAAGACGAGGAGAATATCAAAATGTCGTCCAGGTAGACAATCACAAAAATGTCAAGGAAGTCCCTGAAAATGTCATTGACAAAGTGCTGGAAGGTGGCTGGAGCATTACATAACCCGAAATGCATAACTAGACACTCAAAATGCCCGAACCGAGTGCGAAACGCCGTTTTCCACTCGTCCCCCTCCTGTATTTGTACCAGGTTATAGGTCCCCCTGAGGTCCAACTTAGAAAAGATGGATGCTGTCTTCAACCTCTGGAACAACTTTGGAACCAAGGGAAGGGGGTAGCGGTTTTTGACCGTAATCTTGTTGAGGTCCCTGTAGTCAACACAAGGTCTCAGTGATCGGTCCTTTTTCTCGACAAAGAAAATCCCTGCCCCGGCCGGTGATGTGGAAGGGCGGATAAATCCCTTCCGGAGGCTCTCATCTATGTATTCCTTCAGGGCCCCTAGCTCCCATTCTGACAGTGGGAAATGCGGCCAAAGGGGATTTCAGAACCTGGGAGCAGATCAATGGGACAATCATAGGCCCGATGTGGGGGAAGAACCTCTGCCCCCCGTAGACTAAACACATCCAGGAATTGATGATAGGCCGCATGCACAATTTGGGCCAACTCGGCATCAGGGCTCACAGCTAATAGGGCCGGTGTATCTAGTGACAACCTGGGTAAGCAATGTTCCTGACCCGGTCTTCCAGTCAATTTGGGGGTCGTGTAGCCAGGGGAGCCCCATAATGACTGGAAATAGGGTGGACGCAATGGCGTCCAAACGGAGGAGCTCCTGGTGATGCCCCACCACCGTGGTGTGTATAGGAGGGGTCTCCCGATCTACCGTCCCCGATTTTATTTGAGACCCATCCGCCAAGAAAATATTCAGGCCATGCTCCTTGGGGAGTAACGGTATCTGATGCTGGGCAGCAAAACTGAGATCGACAAAGCAGCTACACGCCCCGGAGTCAATAATGGCCGTCACCTGTATGCTTCCTCCGGGGAGCTGAAAAGACACAGGTACAGCCCAGTGAGTGGGGTTCCTGAGCACACAGTAGACATAGCAGAAGGAATGGAAGAGGACTTACTGTACTTGTCAGGACAGGAGCGCACCATGCGACCCGCCAGCTCCGCAGTACAGACACAGATTGTTAGACCCGATGCCTCTGTCGTTCCTCTGGAGAAAGGGAAGGCCGCATCAAGCCGAGTTGCATGGGCTCAGCCCCCTCTGACGGCTCCGGACTCCGATTGCCGACACTGACCCTTGGCATGACTGGTACCCTTGGCAGCATCCATGAGGTTCTTTGCCCTTGGCTGGACCTCTCCTGTCTCCTTTCCCGCAATCTGCGATCGATTTGGATGGCCCGATCTATTAGGTCTTCCAAGGAGTCAGGGACTCCTATTCTTGCCAACTCGTCCTTTAGTGGTTCTGACAGTCCAACCGGAACTGGTGGTGTAAGGCTGCGTCGTTCCATTGTGTATCTCCACTCCAACGCCTAAACTCAGCAGCATAATCCCCCGCAGCCCGGCGTCCCTGTTGTAGGGAATAGAGGGCTGCCTCAGCCGAGGCGGCTCGGTGCGGGTGTCGTCGTACAGCTGTGCCATTGCCTTAAAGAAGGTGGCTACAGTGTCCAAATGTGGGTGGTGGGCCTCCATCAGGCGATGGGCCCAACCCTGAGGTTCACCCTGCAACAGGGATATAACAAATCCACCTTCACCGATTCCGAAGAGAAGGTCCGGGGGTTGCAGGTCAAAGTACAGCTGGCAGGAGTTCTGGAAGGCCCTGAACTTCCCTCGGTCCCCATTGAACCGCTCAGGGGTCGGTACTCTTGGTTCTGGCGGAGGAATGGAAAATGCTGCTCCAGTGGAAGGCCCTGCTGAACCCGTGGCAGGAGGCGTCCCCACTGTGCCCGATGTTGTGGGTGCCGGTGCGGCCAGGCTCTGAACCTGTCCCTCCAGGTGCTTGTATCCCTCTTCCAGGGTCTTCACCGCTCGTGTGAGTCCCGCCAGATGTTGGCATATCTCCTCCCAGGGTGAGGGTGTTCCTCCAGACTCCGTCATGGCTGTATGGTTCTGTCAGGGATCTACTGCGGTAGCCTAAGAGCTCCACAAACCGGACTCCCCCCAGGGTGCGGAATCTAAGCCCCAACCTGCTTGTTCACCAGGGCCCCTGATGGTGGGGATGGACTTGGAGCAGGCCGAGGACCAGGTTGCAGCCCCTGGGTTCACCCAGCTGTGGTAGAGGCACCGTTGGAGGGTGTCTATAGCAGGTGAGAGCCTGATGTGAGGAGGTCACAAGAGCAGCGTCAGGCAGGCGGGTCGGTAACAGGGGTGGGTCACAAGCCGTGGTCGGTGTTAACAGGAGTACAGAATCAGCAGGCGAATGGTCAGAGGGATAAAGGAGAACGGACTAGCAAAATCGGGTCACAAGCGGCGGGTGACAATCCGGTAACAGGAGATCAGAACCTGATTGTGCGGGGTTAGGCAGGCAGAATGGGGTCAGACAAGCCTAACAGGGAGATGGCCCTCAGATCACATCTCCGAGCAGGAGACGGACAGCAAATCAGGGTCAGGCAGGGCCCTCAGGCAGCAAGACAATCGCCCCACTATTCAGGAAGACAGGAAACAGGCCGCTAAGACCATACGGCACTTACACAATGGCTCAGTCCTACATCTGATTGGTTGCATCCAGGCCCTCAGAGCTTCGGGCCCGCTGGATCGCCCTCAGGCCTACACTGGGGTCCCTGACATCCAAAAAATGGCTCCATAGCCTCTAACATCTCCGACAGACATGGAAAAAATGGCCCTCAGAGCTCTTCCACATCTCCGACAGACATGGAAAAATGGCCCTCAGAGCCTCTACATCTCCGACAGACATGGAAACCTAACATGGCCTCAGAGCCTCCACATCTCCGACAGACATGGAAAAAATGGCCCCTCAAGTGGCCCTCCAACATCTGACAGACATGGAAAAAATGGCCCCTCAGCTCCTCCACAGTCTCCGACAGACATGGCAAAAATGGCCCTCAGAGCCTCCTACATCTCCGACAGACATGGAAAACATGGCCCCTCAGAGCCCTCCACATCGCCGACCACGGCCATGGAAAAAACTGCCCTCAGAGCTAATAGACCAGACTGGAGCTTCGACTCCACATGTCCGAAAAAAAACATGGCCCTCAGAGCCTCCCACATCTCCGACAGACATGGAATAAAAAGTGGCCCTCAGAGGCCTCTACCAGCTCCAACAGACATGAAGGTGTTTCAATCCCCTCCAATCAAGGGATTCAGGTGGTAGCCCAATCTCCTCCATAGCATGTGATTGCCAGGTGTTCCAAGCCCCTGCCATATCATGTGATTATAAGGTGTTTCAATCCCTTCCCAAATCATGTGGATTCAGGTGTTCCATCCCCTTCGCATATCATGTGATTCAGGTGTTCCAAGCTCCTCACATATCATGTGATTAAGGAGTTTCAATCCCTCCGCCCAATGCATGTGAATTCAGGTGTTCCAATCCCTCCTCATATCATATGAGCCAGGTGCGTCCAATCCCTCTCCATATTCATGTGATTCAGGTGTTCCCATCCCCCTCCATTATCACGTGATTTGTAAGGTTTCCACTTCCCCTCCATATCATGTGCTTCAGGTGTTCAATCTCCCTCTCATATCACGTGATTTAAGTGTTTCCACTCCCCTTCCATATCATGTGATTCAGGTGTGTTCCAAGCCGCCTCCATTAACATATCAGGTGATTCAGGTGTTCCAAGCCCCTCCCTAGTCATGTGATTCAGGTGTTCCAATCTCCCACTCAGAAGCAGGTGATATATGTGTTCAGGTGTTCCTTATCCCCTCCATATTCATGTGATGCAGGTGTCTGCCAACCTCCCTCCATAACATGTGATTCAGGTGTTCTAATCCCCTCCATATACTTGTGATTAGGGAGTGTTCCAATCCCCTCCATATCAATGTGATTTCAGGTGTTTCCAACCCCCTTCCATATCATGTGGATTACGGGTGTTCCAATGGCACGTCATAGATCAATGGGATTCAGGGTGTTCCAAGCCCCCTTGCACTATCATGTACATTTCAGGTGTTCCAATCCCTTCCACTCATGTGATTCAGGTGTTCCAATCCCCTCCATAGCATCAGTGATTTCAAGGTTGTTCCAATCCCTCGCCCATGTCTGGTGATTCAGGTGTATCCAATACCCTCCAGATCAATGTGGTTCACGGTCTAGCCAATCCCCTACTATATCAGGTTGATTCAGGTGTTCCAATTCCCTCGCCATATCGTGTGATTGCATGTGTGTCCCAGCCCCTCCATAGCAAGTGATTCAGGTGTTCCAATCCCCGCCATATCATGTGATTCAGGTGTTCTAAGCCCCTACCATGATGCTATGTGAATTCCCGGTGTTGCCAATCCCCTCCCAATCATGTGGATTTCAGGTGTTTCCAATCTCCTCCATATGCATGTGATGCCAGGTGGTTCCAATCCCTCCAGATCATGTGATTAAGGTGGTTTTGCAATCCCTTCCAATCAATGTGATTCAGGTGTGCCACTCCCTCATCCATAGCACTGTGATTCAGGTGTATCCAACTCCCCTCCATATCATGTGATTTAAGTTGTTTTCCAATCCCCTCCAATCAATGTGATTCAGGTGTGTTCCAATCCCCTCCATATATCATGATATTGCAGTGAAGTGGTCCAATCCTCGCTCATATCATGTGATTCAGGTGTTCCAATCCCCTCCATATCACTGTTGATTTAAGGTGTTCCACTCCCCTACCATGATCATGTGATTCAGGTTGTGTTTCCAATGCCCCTCCTTAGCACGTGATTTTAAGTGTTCCACTCCCCTCCATATCATGGTGATTCAGGGGTTCCAAGCCCCTCCCATATCATGTGATTTCAGGTGTTCCAATCCCTCCCTTATTCATGTGCTTCAGGAGTTCCAAGTCCCGCCATATCAGGGTGAATTCAGTGGTGTTCCAAGCCCCCTCCATATCAGGGTGATGCAGGTGTGCCAAACCCGCCGCCATAACATTGTGATTCAGGTGTGTCTAATCCCCTCCATATCAATGTGATTCAGGGGGTCCAATCCCCTCCATATCATGTGATTCAGGGTGTTCCAACCCCCGCCAGAGCACATGTGATTAAGTGGTTCCAATTCACTCCATATCATGTGATTCTCTGGTGTTTCAAATCCCCTTCATAGCATGTAATTCAGGTGTTCCAAATCCCCTTCCAATCCTGTGATTCAGGAGTGTTCCAAGACCCCGTTCCATATCAATGTGATTCCAGGTGTGTCCAATCACCTCCCCATTCAGGTGATTCAGGTGTGTGCCAATACCCTCCATAATCATGTGGGTTCCGGTATTCCAATCCCCTCCATATCATGTGATTCAGGTGTTCCAATCCCCTCCATATCGTGTGTTTCAGGTTGTTCCCATGCCCTCCATATCAATGAGTGATTCAGGTGTCTTCCAATCCCCTCCAGATCATGTGGATTTTTCAGGTGTTCCTACTCCCCTCCAGATCATGTGGATTCAGGTTGTTCCAATCCCCGCCCATCATGGCTTCAGTGTTCCAAGCCCCCTCCCCAATCATGTGATGTCAGGTGTTCCAATCCCTTCCCATCTCATGTGTGATTAAGGAGTTCCAATCCCCTCCATACTCATGTGATTCTGGTGTTCCAATCCCTCCCTTATCATGTGATTCAGGTGTTCCAACTCCACACCATATCATTGTGATTCCAGGGTGGTGCCACTCCCCTCCATTCATGGGGATTCAGGTGTGCCAATCCCGCCATATCAGGTGATGGAGTTCAAAACCCTCCATCAGCATGTGATTTCAGGTGTGTCCCAATCCCTCCCCATATCATGTGATTCTGTGTGTTCCCCTGCCCCGCCCATGATCATGTGATTCAGGGTGTTCCACAACCCCTCCAGATCATGTGAGTCAGGTGGTTCTAATCCCCTTCCATAGCATGGTGATTCAGGTGCTCCAATCCCCTCCATTATTATGTGAGATTCAGGTGTTCCAATCCCCTCCATATCATGTGGATTCAGAGGGTCGCCAATCCCTCCTATATCATGTGATTCAGGCCGTTTCCAATCCCCTCCAGATCATAGCGATTCAGGGGTGCCCAATCCCCTCCATGATCATGTGGATTAGGTGTTCCAATCCCCTCCCTTAGCAGGTGATGCAGGTGCTCCTATCCCGCTCCAGAGTTATGTGAGTTCATGGTGTTTCCAAGCCCCGCCATAGCATGTGATTCAGGGGTCCCCAATCTCCCCTCATATCATGTGATTTCAGGCTGACCAAATCCCTCGCCTATATCATGTGCGAATCAGGGGTCCTCAAGCCCCGCTCACTCATGTGCTCCAGGTGTTCCGATTGCCCTCCATATCAAGGTGGTTTAGGTGTTCCCCGCCCATTCCATATCATGTGGGTTCAGGTGTTCCAATCCCCCGCCATTATGCTGTGTGATTCAGGTGTTCCATCCCCTCCATCTCATGTGGCGTGTGGTTTCAGGTGTTCCACTCCCCTCCCAAGCAGTGTGATGTCAGGTGTATCCAATCCCCTCCAAGCTCATGTGATTCAGGGGTCCCAATCCCCTCCATATCATGTGATTCAGAGTGTTCCAATCCCTCGCCCAACTCATGTGCTTCAATGTGTTTCCAATCCCCCTCCCACGTTCATGTGCTTCAGATGTTTCAATCCCCTCCAGCTCATGTGATGCAGAGATGTTCCAATCCCCTCCAATCATGTGATTCAGGTGTTCCAATTCCCCGTCCCAAGCATGTGATTCAGGTGTTGCCAATCCCATCTCTCCAGATCATGTGAGTCAGGTGCTCCAAGCCCCTCCAGATCATGTGATTCAGTGGGTTTCCAATTCCCCGCCATAATCCTGTGATTCAGGTGTTCCTGATCCTCGCCATATCATGTGATTTCAGGGTGTTCCGAATCCCCTCCGTATCAATGTGGAGTCAGGTGGTTTCCAATCCCCTCCATGAGCATGTTGAAATTCCAGGTTGTTCCAATCCCCTCCATATGATGGTGATTCAGAGGTGTTCAATCCCCGTCCATAATATGGATTGAAAGTCCGGAGTTTCCAATCCCCTCCCTAAGCCTGTGAGTTCAGGTGTTTCCAATTCCCCTCCATATCAGGTGATTCAGGTGTTCCCATCACCCCGCCATAACAGTGTGATGCAGCTGGGTCCCAATCCCCTCCATATCATGGTGGCTTCAGGTGTATGCCAATCCTCCCCACTCATGTGGATTCATGGGTGTTGCCAATTCCCGCTCCCAACTCATGTGATGCAGATGTTTCAATCCCCCTCTAAAGCATGTCTGATTCAGGTAGTTCCAATCCCCCTCCAATCATGTGAGTGATCAGGTGTTCACAAATCCCCACCAATCATGTGAATTCAGGTGCTACAATCCCCTCCCATAGCATATGATGCAGGTGTTGCCCAATCCCATCCTATACCCTGTTGAATTCAGGTTGTGTCCAATCCCCTCCGTATTTTTTATTCATGTGATTCGGAGTGTCCTATCCCCTCCATTCCAATGCGATTCAGGTGTTCCACAAATACCCTCCATATCATGCGATTCAGGTGTTCCAATCCCCTCCATATACATGCGATGCCAGGTGAGTTCCCAATCCCCCTCTAAGGATCACAGGTGTATCACAATGAACGCCCCTAGGCATGCCAGACGGCTTTCTACAAACAGTGTGTGCAAGCATGGTATGGGACGCTCGTCAGGAGGCTTCAGTGACTCCAAGCGTGGTCCGTGTGATAGGTGGCCACCTGGGGCAAATAAGTCCATCCGTGACATTTCCCTGGCTACTCATTATTCCCACGCTCCACCTGTTAGTGTGGGATTATAACAACGTGGCAGCCACTGGGAACAACAGCAGCCGACTCACGCACCAAGTGGGAGGCCAGCGTCACATAGGCCAGGGCGGGGTCAGGCATGCTGAAGCCGCACAGTGCGCGCCAGACGTCACCAACCACCGTCTGCAGGAGTTCAATAGCCTTACAGACCTCCAAACTTGGTGTGCGGGCCCTTCAGATGAGCCCAACAACAGTGTGTAGAGAGCTTCCATGGAATGGTAGTTTCCTGGCTCGAGGCAGCCTGCATCCCACGCCGTCCCCATCACCAAGTGCAATGCAAAGCAGAGTCGGTGTGACCGTGGTGGTAAAGCACGCTGAGCCCACTGGCACTCAAGCGCAGAGGAGACGTTTGTAACTCGGGAGTGACCAATCACGCCGTCTCTGGCTTGCATTGCTGATGGGCCGGGGTGACCTGGGTTTTGTGGTGGGCCAGGACGCACGGTAACTTGGGCCTGCACTGCAGTGTGCCAAGTCGTACAGTTTGGTGGAGGGGGGATTATGGTGTTGTCAGGGCTCCCAGGGTATGACCAGAGGTATGTGACTGACGCAGGGAAACGCAGACTTCAGATATATTATAAACAATATAATTTATTAACACAACAATTACAAACATAAACGCAGTGCAAACAAACTAAACCAACCACAGATAACAGTACATACAGTGCAAGCGTCCGTCAGGCAGGCCGGGTCAAATATCAATCGGGCAGGTAGGTACAGGGGAGCAAGCAGAGAATGGTCGGGGTCACAAGCCAGGTTCAGCAGGTAGCAGACAGCGAGGTAAAGCAGAGGGTCAGGCAGAGGGGTGGTCAGGAACGAGCCGGGGTCAGTAGAGCAGGAGAAAGTCAGCAGAGGATCAGATCAGTTGCAGGGTCAGCGACAGGGAACAGGGACAGGGACAGGGACAGGATGCAAGATACAGGGCCCAGGAAAAACACACAACACCAAGGCAGAGGTCTGCAGGTCTGGCCCATCCCTTAAAAACACCAGCATAAGCTGTTTCAGGTGTTTGGCTGGCTGCAAGGGTTGGAGTCTCTGATTGCTGGGAGCAACCCGCTGGCCCAGCCCTGGTTACTGCAGATCAAAAGGCAGGTGATACCAACCTATTGCTGGCCAGTCCCATTCCTGACCGGTTGTGGGGCGTGTGTTTCAGGGGTTGGGCTTTTGGCCCCCTAGTTCCAGTGAAGGGAAAAACTCTTCAGGCACATTTTGGACAATTTCATGCCCCCAACTTTGTGGGAGGAGTTTGGGGATGGCCCCTTCCTGTTCCAACATGACTGCCCCCAGTGCACAAAGCAAGGTCCATAAAGACATGGAGGAGCCAGTTTGGGGTGGAGGAACTTGACTGTCCTGCACAGAGTCCTGACCTCAACCCCATAGAACACCTTTGGGATGAATTAGGGCGGAGGACTGTGAGCCAGGCCCCCTCCCCCGACATCAGTGCCTCCTCCCCCGACATCAGTGCCCCTCCCCCGACATCAGTGCCTGACCTGACAAATGTGCTTCTGGAAGAATGTCCAACCAAAACCTTCCCATAGACACCCTCCATAAACCTTGTGGGGGGGGCCTTCCCAGAAGAGTTGAAGCTGTTAATACCTGGCAAAGGGCGGGGGCCAACTCAATATTGGGGGGGGGCGGCCGGGGGGCTGGGGGGGCCATGGGGGGGAAAGGTTGAAGCTGTTATACAGCTTGCAAGGAGGGGCAGCGGGCCAAACTCAATATTCAGAATCCCCTACATATAGACTAAAGGACTGGGGTGGCTCTCGATTAGCAAAGGTCATGTGTGTGGGAAAAGGGCGGGGCCAACTCAAGTGCGAGTGAACCCTACAGACTAAGAACTTGGCGGGTCCATTAAAGGTCATGTTGCGTGGGTAAGGCCTGGGGGGTTGGCCATACTTGGGGCAGTATAGTGTAATATACGGTGGGGTGTGCTGGGGGCACATATTGGGTAATATAGTGTATATATGGGGGGCTGGGGACATTTACCCTTGGGGCCAATATAGTCTATTATAACGGGGGGTGGCGGGGGGGGGGGGGGGGGGGGAACAATACTGGGGAAATATAGTGTATATATGGGGGGCGGGGTACAATGTTACTTGGGGCTATTTTATAATAGTTTAGTGTTTATACGGGGGGGGGGCGGGGACAATACTTTGGGGGCAATTATAGTGTATATTATGGGGGGCGGGGGCGATACTTGGGGCAATATAGTGGTATATACGGGGGGGGGGCGGGGGACAATATTGGGGGGTAATTTATTTGTATATATGGGGGGGGGGGGGACAAAACGGGGGAAATTTTAATTGGTTGGTTTTTAATTTTGAGGGGGAGATTTTTTGGGTAAATTTAAAGGGGGCCCCGTTAATGGTCTTTTTAAAGGGCCCCCCTTTGGTCAGCCCTAAATTTTTTTTGGGCACAACTCCCTCTATTAAAACCTTAAATCACATTTTTCCTTTCCCTATTTCCCAGGGAGTGGGTGGGGCTTTCTCCCCTTTTTGAGGAGGGGGGAGCCGACGGGTGACCCCCACTGTTGGGAAGGACAGCGGGGACGTTATCGGGATTTAATTGGGGACCCGTTTCCACGGGACAACGAGGAAAATTCCGGGGCGAGTTTCCCCCCCCCGGGGGGGGAACCCTTTTACCCCGGGGACACAGAAGGGGGAAATACAAAAAACACCCCCCACCAATGTCCCGGGGGGTTTCCACATCTGCGGGGGGGTCTTCCGGGGCCCTTTCTTTGGTGTCAGATGGGGAGGAATATGTGTCCCATCATTTGGTGTCAGTGGGGGGAATAGTGCCCCATATTTGTGTCCGTGGGGTGGAATATGTGCCCCATCATTGGTGTCGTGGGAGGAATAGATGGGGGGGGGCCCCATCATTGTTGGTGTCAGTGTTGGGAGGAATAGTGCCCCACCTCATTGGTGTCAGTTCGGAGGAATAGTGCACCATCATTGGTGTCAGGGGGGGGGAGGGGAATAAGTTGGCCCCAAATCATTGGTTGTGTCATGTGGGGGGAAATAGTTGGCCCCATCATTGGTGTCAGAAAGTGGATAGTGCATCATTGGTGTTCAAGGTGGGGAGGAATAGTGTCCCATCTTTTGGTGTCAGTGGGGGGAAATTAGTGCCCATCATTGGTGTCAGGAAGAGGAAAATAGTGTCCCATCATTGGTGTCCGGTGGGGGGAGGAATTAGTGCCCCATCATTGGTGTCAGTAAGAGGAATTTAGTGCCATCATTTGGGTGTCAGTGTGTGGAATAAGTTGGCACCATCAATCCACATGTCCGTGGGATCAATAGTGCGCATTCATTGGATTGTTCAGTCGGCAGGGAATACTTTGGTTCATACCTGCTACAGCCAGCGCGCCCCGCACCCCCCCGCGCATGTGTGCCCTATCATCCATTGATGTTCAGTTGGAGGCATAGGTGCCCCTCATTGGTGTCAGTTGTTAGGAATAGAGCCCCATCAGTTGTTGTCAGTGGGAGGAATAGCGCCCCCCACCCCCCCCCCCGCCAGTCCCCGCGAAATAGGTTGCCCCGACCACTAGTTGTTCAGTAAGAGGAATAGTGTCCCCTTACCCCATCTGGCTTACTCACGTGGGCAGCGGGGAAAAACATAGTGACCCCCCACTCCACATGGTGTCTGCTCCGAGGAATAGTGTCATGCATTGCCGCCGCCATACCGCGGCACATCAGTGCCCCACAACCCACCATCCCCTGCCCGTCCGCTTCAGCTAGTGAGCCACGGAAATAGTGC